ATTGGCAATGAGTATAATTAAACAATTTAAAAAAAAAACATGTCAAAAAGGGAAGAGATAAGAATGAATACTACAGACAATCATTAATCATCACATTCTTTCATGTTATTATTTATTTATACAAATTATCTTGTTTTTTTCTGCTTCTTAGAATCAATTAAAACTTCTTTTGTATATATAATTGAATTTTTTCGTGAAATAATATACATATATACACATAGATTAGTAGCACAATTTATTTTGTTCATATTCTTTAATTTCTAATATTGAGAAATAGCGTGTTTTTTGTTCATTTAAGATTTTAATAATAATTATTCTAATATGGCTCATGCATTGACATTTAACGATCAAACTCTACAAAATGAAGAAACTGTTCCACTCCATCCAGATATCGGATATTTACTCGTCAATTATCTTAAAGGTCTGGATGTTATTAATTATATGGAGGCAGTAAATGGTTCTGTACAATTTCGAACCATTGTAGTATCTGAATACAAATTCTATCTAATTTTTATGGAATTAGTTAAAAAAGAAAATGTAACAGTTACTATGCCTTATCTTGATTTTTACTTGGAAGAGTGTTCTTTCACCACCATGGGATATTTATATCCCAATCACTATCATCACGAACATGCTCCTGTAATGCGTTCATTCATTCATTCTACATTTACGGTGGAAGCTTTAGAAAAATTATGTTGTGCGTACAAAAATCCATCATTTCAATGTTACAGCCGTTTGTTAACATTTAATTCACAGTCATATGTTGGTAATTTAATTCTTCTTGATTATTTTAATTACAAATATTCAACTGGTCCTTCACGTGAATTAAATGTTTATGAACAAAGTCTTTTCAAAGGTATGGTTTTTAAGATTTGTCAAGTAAAGAGAAAAAATGATCATATAACGCAGCGTACGATATGACATTGTAGATGATTAATTGCCTGATTTTATGAAGAGTACATAACAGAAGGAGGAAAGAGGAGAAAAGAAAAAAATGACTTGTATTCGATAATATTTATATATGACCGATGCAACGAGATTAAATGAGAAAAGTATGTTGTTTTAAAAAGAGGAAAAGTATGGAATTAAAGATGACAAGAGACAAAAGTTGCTGTTATGAGACTTCGATTTTATATAATACTTTTTAATCTAGAATGTCAATTGTTTCGACCATTAGCACATGATGTGCTAAACAAGAACTTAATATTTGTGGAACATATTTCGGAATTTATAATGAATTTCGAAGATCGTTTTAAGTTATTTACATGGATAAAAGCTATCGATTTTAACAAATTTCATATTTCCGGAGGTTGTATTGTTAACTGTCTCTGCAAACATCCGTTTTCAGATACTGTCATTGAAATGGTAGATATAAATTTCAACGGTAACTCATTTCATGAATTCAATGATGCAGTTAATACTATTTATGTTGATTTGATGAAGATTATGTTAGAGAAAAATTACTCTCCAAGTACAACATTAGTAAAAAAAAGCAATGGTGGTTACATTATTGAATTACCTTTTAATATTCAATTACAATTTAATTTTAAAAATGTTCCTAATAATACTAATCCTATCAGCTATGTACTTCATTCCAGCGATATTGATGTCAGTCAAGTTGCATTTACAGGTGAGAAAAACTAAAACCAATAAATATGATTATGTCTATTTTTAATAGGTACACGTCTGTTTTGTACATTTGCTTTTTTACAAGCTATTGCTACAAGATCATTTATATGTTATACAATGCATGCAACTATGATGAAAAGTATCTGTGAAAGAATTATTCGATATTGTCACAGAGGATTTATTTTTCTCGAATCTCACGATTTCGACGATACTCTCTATGGTGATATAATGAATAACGATGATTTTGAAGAGAATAGAGTAGAAACGAAAGAAATAATAGATGATGATGGTGAAGTTCAAATTATGACAACCACTTATGGAACACATCAATGGCCACTTCCAACTATCGACTCCTATCTTCTTCAAGAGGCATTTATCAAACGAATTGGTTATAAACAATTCGAATAGACATGTTCATATCTGTAGAGTAATAGTTCACAATTTTAATCGAATTCTATTTGTTAGTATTATTAATCTGCTTCATTTATCTAAATCATTTTTTATCGAATATTTTATAGTCTATACGTATTATAAATAAATAAATAAATTAGAGCATGGAAAGATTAGTATCTGAATTATATACTTGCTTTGTGTTTAGATTTTTCAGATTGAAAAAACTTATTACACTTAACAATTATCAACTCGTTAACATGTCAAATTCATCAAGTAAGAGAAACAAAAGAAAACATATCATTATTTTATGAAGAAAATTTTCTCATTATAGAAAATACAATAAATAGCAATATTGCTGTTAAACAAATGAAACCGAATGATCCAGCCGAAGTGAGATACTTTATTTTCTTGTAATATTAAAAAAAACCATCTTTTATAGATATCAAATTCTTCAGAAAAAAGATCTATTTCGGAAGATATCGATGTTCAAACAAAAAAAATAAAAATTGAAACTCCAGTACTTGCACAAAAAGCTTCGATGCCTTCTGGTGCAAGTGCTGTAGCACCCAAATTTATCAGTGTAGCTGCTATGGTTGCATCACGTTCAGAAATTACAGATGAAGAGTTTCTCAAGTTTGCAATCGATTTCGAACGTGAACATGGCATTTAACTGTTCATGAAACAAGCACGTAGCAATGAACAATAATAGTTTTTTGATGCATGTTTATTAATCAAGCGTTTTATCTTTTTAATCACCACCATTATTTTATTCATATTGAAAAAAAAATATAGATGTCATTTAAATATTATTATATAATTATTATATAATCGTACATTGTGTTTACTTTTAGATAAACGATAGTCACATCACTTTGGATCTATATACGTATATATGATATACGTACATACAATTTGCTTATGATTAATTTTTTTAAATAAATATACTAGCATACATTTCACATTGATAACGTGTCTAAACTTCTGTTTTTCTCTATTTTATGACGACATTTCATTGATAAAATTTTTTTTAGCCTGATTGGATTATGAAAATTGATAAATATATGTGCACCAATAGATTATTTCGTAGCGTTCTCTTCTTTTTCTATTTTTTTGACAACGAAAAACTATACAACGATTTAATCAGTGAATTCGTTTGCTTCTCTTCTCATGCCATTATATTACGAAAAGAAAAAAAAGGGAAAAAAACGAAATATCACATAAAAGTGTTAATTGATATATTTGCTATTTGCGTATGTATATCGTATGTAGAGAAATAAACTTTTCATTGAAATGTGGCAACAAAAGACATATTATTTAAAAAATATTTTCAATCTTATGATAAACAACGCTAAAATAATACTATAAATTAATATATAATAATGTTACACACATAAATTCACTCATAAAAAAATATTTTGAATACATTTTTTTCAATATCATAAATAAATCATATCAGTACTTTTATGGATAGTGCTAATCAAATATAAGTGACAAATGCTTTTTGCACATGAAGTGTGAAATTATGAATGGCTATCACTTGCCATAATTACACATAAATACGATAGTTGATAAACTTTTATTACTTGACATATATCTCAATAAATAAACTGATATATATATATATATGTGTGTGCATATACTTATTAATAATACTCTTTGAACATTTTCTTTTTTTAGCATCTTTTGAATAATTAATATCATATATACAAAACTTTCAACACGTATTCAATGGCAAATTTTAATGGGAATTCCAATCCAGATCATATTAATCTATTACCAATTGAATTCGCTCATACGGCATTAGATTTAGATTGGAATGACGATGAAGTGTTTCGTGCTGGATATCCGTTCTCAGATATTCCAGAAATGGAATCAAACGGTTGGGTTCTTTCTTCTTATAAATCAAATTAATACCATTTTGTTTCTAGAAGGCTGCGAGTCATACAATATTAACTCAATATTTGCTGATAATTTTGGTCAACCGAGTAATATAGGTGGCAATAAAAAATTTAATTAACATACAAATGTGATAAAATTTATAATAGGCGTTGCTATTCCAATGCCGAAAGAAAATGATCAATTAACTGAATTATCAGTTCAACGACAAGTGAAAATTGTATTGCTTAATAATATATTCAACAAGCATTTTTATTTTAGAAAAAAAAAGTAGACGGTCAATTAGGAGCGAATCTCACAGACGCACGGAATAAAAATTATGAAATACATCCAAGTCAATTAATCAATTATGATAATGAAGAGCTTGACGATGGTCATCAGAATGATGTAAAAAATCAAATTAGCGTCGCCAACATTGAAAGTCTTCAACCATTGGATCATGCTCAAACAAAAAATTGACTCGTCACAAACTAGATGTTGAATTATATACTAAAACGTCTGCTGTCATATTTTAGTCTCGCATGTATCCTTTTTAATTTTTAGTTTTTGTTTTTTTTTGTTGTACCCTTTTTATTCATAAATTAGAAAAAATTAATAATGTTTATCACAATTAAATAGAATGCTTCACGTATTCATATTTAGAAGAACTCATTCATAAGTGCCAACGAAAATTAAAGCCAAGTTTGAGAAAAGAAACAAGCCATTATGTATACTATGCTTGTATACAATTGTTCTCTTCTGATTAATTGGGATTGAAAGGTGTAAATTGAGTTGTAAACAGTTTGTTGCTATTCGATATTCCATCAATGAATTTGTTCGATTATGATTGATGATCAATGATTAACCATTTCTATCATTGAAGATATGAACTAATCATATATGGTCTGATGAATGCTTTCACATTATGTATATCTAGCATATGAACTTGACATGAGCTCCACGGGAGATTGTTCTTGGGTATATATATACGAGATAGAACAGATGCATATAGAAATTGGCTTCTCATTCTCACAAAATGAGAATTATTTTAGTGTAATGAAAATTTTTTGTATCTTAATTTTTTTAGATTCACTTAATATAAAATGCATTCACCAACACAAGAAAACCAAACCGCTACACAAACCGTCATGAGTGCCGTCGCCGACCCCAATGTGTGGGGCCATGCCTTTTATGGCGAGGCAATGGCGTGCGCAGCCTCGGCGGCGGCATGTACCGGCCATAAACAACCGCTGGTTCGGGGAATACCAGGTAAGTGACGTTTTGATAATATATTTCAACTAATACTTTTTTTGCTTTTATTAAATAGGCACAATGTGGCCTTGTTACACGGTTCGTGATCACTCGACCATGACGGACGAATTTATTCCCGTCAAGCCCATCAAGGTCGGGCTGATGCTCGGGGTGGATAGGCCAACGGCCATGCACCTGGTCGGGTACATAGGAGGTGAGCCGGTGTATAAATAACACCAGCAACACCGGCCACAGGTGAGCATATTTTTTTTAAAGTTTAAATTTTTTATAAAACATTCATATTTTATTTAGATCAAGTTTGTTCCTGGCCCGTACCAGCTGTAATGGCCGGTACCAACACTCGGCATGTTGGTCGGCATGCTAACCAACCAACATGCCATGTAAATAAGCAAGTGTAAATTTTGTAAATAAATTCCTCTCTTTTCCTGTTTAATTGTAAATTTTTGGTTTTTGTGTGTTCTTTGTAAATTTTCTTTTATTCAATAAAAATCTTTCCACCATATATATCTTTTTCTCTTATTAAATAAACTTAAATAGCAACAAAAAAATTGTTTTTCTTTATTTTTCCCTTATAGATATAAACGCTACTCTCGTTTATATCTAAAAAGTTAGGCTCTTTTCACATTTTATAAAAGATTCTAGTACTTAATGTACTTTCTTAACTTCACAACAGAACTTTTAAGCCCGAATTTCCTTTAATATAAATGTTTGATCAAAGAAAGACCATAAGAACAAGAAATTGAAAATAATTACATTATCTTTTCTTTTGTAGATCTATAAAAGAACAAGAATATGAAACAATATGAAGCCAACTATACTGGTCACAAAATTATTTGATAAAATACCTGATTCTTATTTTAAAAAAAAGTAGAACAAATACAATCACCATGAACTTCAAACAATAGTCAGCATATTCGATTATATCTAACACAAAGGACGCTCGTAACGAATCGTACACATCCAAATCAACATATAACTATTTATTTCACTTAACCATCTCATATTATCTTATACATTTTCTAGGTACCATGTGCCTATACATGCGTAATATTCTTTCTTACATGCATACTTATACTAAAAAATTAAATTCAAGAGACATATGAACGGACTGTAATTTCAGTCATATTGACTGAATTGAAAAATTCAACTTTTATAAAAAAGAATTTTTCTTTCCATATACCTTCACAATGTATCTATAGTTATAAACGGTAATCAAGAAAGAGATTACCATTTGAGTTTTTCTGCAACGTACATCTTTCGACTGTACGAATTCGTATAAACAATCTTTGAGAATTAGTTGCGGAACAGAACATGATAATTTTAACAGAAATTATCTTAACAAAAAAATATTTTTCACCTGTTTACTATCTCTCAATAGAAAGATATTCATGGTCACGAGCTGAAGAAAAAAAGACAGTTCGTTTATGAAAACGACATGATTGTATTTCATCCGATTCCAAGGAACATATATCAGAAGTAATCAGTCGACGAGCAATGATAATTTCAAAGAAAAACTCATTTGTAGCGAAGAAAATTTCTCTATTAAATGTTATGAGTTGAATATATAAATGACGATTCACATCAGCTATGAAACAAAAGTTTGTTTTAATCGAATCAAGTGATTACATTTTATTCAATATAATGCAACTGATCAGAAAAAAATAAATCGATATGAAAAGATGTAATATTAAAGAAAAACCACCATTAAAGAAAAAACGTTTTCCCTCTAAAGGTAGTACGCTGCTATATAAATGACCAATCTCAACTATAAAAAAAGGTTTTTTTAATCATACCAGGTGATT